TTCAAAACCAAATAGACCGATGTGATTAAACTCCGAAAGGGTACAATTCAGCATTAAATTGAAATTTGAGTCCTGTGTTTGAGAAGGAATTTCAGTGTAGTTGTTTAAGTTATGAATTCATGTTTTATAACTGTAGGGACAAATGCTCTTTTATTTAACAAAATAAAAAAATGTTGTAAGAGAATAATTGTAAGTTTCTGTGCAGCAGAGTGGCTACTGCCTCATAAATACAGGAAAGAATGTAGCCCTGGACCCAGACTCTTACCTCTCATACACTTCAGATTACCTGCCTAATAAGTATTGAGGGGTTTCAGCCCTTTTCTCAATTTTTCTAGTTTTCTTTTTAGTTTGTAAAATAATTGAAAAAGCACCAAAAATGAATTCAGAAGTTTCCTAGTGGCTCCTTGCCCAGTCTTAATTGTCCCCCACACTCAAGGGTTTTTAGAAGACATTTTGAATCAAGATGTATTTCATCCATTTTACGCTTGCTACTCTCTGAGGAGTGGAGTGGCTGAAAGGGCCTGTTTCAGGTGGTACTCTGTATGTCATGGACATGTTTGTACCTGTACAGTGGATCTGTGTGACAACGTCTTGTGCTTGCAGTTTAGAAACCACGCAGTGCTGTTTTGTAAATTGACAGTTTCTGTGTAAACTATTATTTATAACCCTTGGCCCCTCTGTATAATTTTTCATTTGCTACATGGATTGTATAATTAATTATAAAATTATAGTACCTGCTAAACCCAATTCTGAGGCTTCATGTCATTGTCTTCGGTTTGATGCCAGTCTGTGGATTGTGAGGATGCCCAGGCCTTGCCTGATACCAGTAGTGATGTCACTTTAAATTAAGCCTTAATCAGATAGTGAATTTGTGCATTTCAGAGTATGCAAAAAAATAAAAATAATAAATAAAATAGGCAGCGTGAGTTTTAACTGTCCAAATCAAGATGCTCAATCGTAACTCAGCACATGTTCCCTCTGGAGTTAAAAAGGGCCGTTGCCAGGGTTACACTTCTCCTCCTCACTTGTGCTCTCCTGCGTGGCTTGATGAAAACAGATCATGTGCATTTCTGTGGCAGTCTATCTAGAGACCTTTGCAGGGACATCTTCAAACGTCTGATTTCTCTCCTCCGGTCGGAGATGAGCCTTGGCTGCTGGGGACATGATCGAGGTGTTGGTTTCACCAACCTGCTCATAGGCTAAGCTCTCCGCAGGTACTGCCACCTGTCATTGCTTCTGCATAGAATACAACAGGTTTTTATTTCTGTAAAGGCATCTTCGGTCTTGAGATAAGATAGAGGGGACCCAGCTTTCTTTACAATGTGGATCTACCTCAGTTAAACAGTTGGGTGCTATTTACTAAGTCTGTCAAATTAAATTGGAGAAAGTAACCAAACGGGTGGGACGTAACTAACTCCACATGAAACTTGAAATCATCATTTCCGTTTATTTAATGGTATTTTTCTTTATTTATTTTGTGCCTTTTCTGTTAACCCTAATGCATTTTTGAAATTCAGAATAGTCATTTTCTCTTGCAAGTGGGGGAGCCCGACTGACCATGCAAATATCCCATCCAACTGCTATCATTATTGGGATCCCAGCCCCCACTTGGGAAAATGTGTTCAAAAGCAAATTTTACACATAACATACTCTTCTATGCATGTGTTCATAGCTATCACTTCATTTCTGTGCCATTGAAGAGGCACCCCCCCCCAAAAAAAAGATACCCCAAGTACGTGTGTCTGCTTTTTTAGCCGTTCGTATCCCTCTCCCTCCGGCATGTTTTGTATAAGACTTTCTTTCATACACAGCAAATAGACAGTTGTCGATTCCATCTCCTGGTTTGCATGGTGAAAAGTGCTGAACACCATGGGCAGAAAAGAGGGCAAGCTCGCGGCCGTCTGGAGGTAGGGAAGATGTACATTCTGCTAAACACCATGGGCGGAGGAGGGGGCAAGCTCACGGCTGTCTGGAGGCCAGGCTGGAGGTGGGGAAGATGTACATTCTGCGGCAGCCTGTGGTTTCTGAAGTCAGGTACACTTTTTGATGGGTAAGAAAATAAGGTCGGAGATCGATGACTTTCCACACTTTTATATTTGGCTATTTACAATTGTAGACTTTTCCTACCGTGGCAATCTTTTTTAACAATTCTTTGGAGGTAACGCAATATTTTGGAGTCTTAATGAATTTGATTTTATACCAATAAGAAATAAAAGTTAGGGAGCTTTCCTGTAGTGCATAGTCTTACTCTTTTAAAGAGATGTCTGGATTTTAGAAGAGAACCAACTGTACTTGGTGGCAAGACTCCAAAAGGTGATTTGGGAGCCCCTCCCCCTTTGCAGGATCTCAAAAAAGGAAAGAAAAAGATGATTCTAGTTAGACGTGTGTGGGGTTTCTTTTGTTTTTAAGCTTCCATCAGGTTGATACTTAAGCTGTGTTTTATAGAATTAATCCCCCTTTAGTATGCTGCGTATGGATTATGAAGCTCAGAGCTGTTGCACTTTCTCTGTAATCAATGCCCTACAATTGGCTTGCCGGAAGCATTTATTTTAACCTTTATGAGTACTTTGGGCAGGTGATGAAATTTACATAGGTACCTCAGTCCAAGACCTGCGTGTGCTGCATTTTGGTTTGTTCTTTTGTTTTGGTTTTCGGTTTTTTGGGGTTTTTGGGTTTTTTTTTTTTAGCTTTTCTATGTAGCATTATATTTTACTTTATTTTGTTAAGATATTATATTTTTTTGGACCCCAGTAGACTGTTGAAAGGAAACCTAAACCGTTAGTATCCTTCTTTTTTCTCCTTGCAGTATGTGGTTCTAAAGGTCACCCCACAGTAGGAATCTTTCCCAAGCACACCAGAGGAAAAGGGTACTACGCTTCTCAGCAGGCCGTGCCGCTCAGATCCTTTGTGTTCATGCTGCTTCCTTGATTTCCTTCTCCACGTCACCCCAGGGTGGGGACCTCCAGTGCAAAGCTGTGGCATCTTAACTCTTACACACAGACCTCATGTCCACTGAGTCAGTAGCATGACCGTAAAGGCGCGGCCGGCGTGCAGCCGCTGGGCAGCCTGGCCTTGGAGCGGCAGCCTTCCTGTCTTTCCTTCTCAGCTCTCACCCACAGTGACCTGGTCGGGTGGTCTGCATGGACAAGACAGCTGGTGAAGAAAGCTGAACGCTGAGACACCGCGCATCTCTTGTCGTGTTTAAGCTTAGCTGGGTCCTTTTGATTTGTTTTCACGGCTTACTAGGTTAAATAGTTTGCACTATTTTTGCAATAAATTCATGGGAAACCTAACAGCTACTTATGGTGTTCTTACTGTGTGTATAAACTAATACTAAAAGTTTGGTATAGTGTTTTTTCACCTCCTTGTGTAGCCCCCTAACATGCACAGAATGCTGTAAATCTGATAAAATATGATGTGAATGATATTTTATAAAGTTATTTTGTATGGTGTCAATTCTGTTTTGCCGCATAGTATGTCAGCAAAAAAATAAAATAAAATTCCTCATATTTACAGCTGCCTACTCCAAAGGTGTCTCTGGTTACTGTCTCCCTTCAGATCACTGTCAAATGCACCGGCTGAGTCCAGTGTCCCTGGTAGAGTGCACCTTTCCAAGGGGTCTGGGTCCTGTTCTGCACAGTCCAGGGGCTGTGCCCAAAGGATGGACTGGCTCAGCGAAGCTCCACACCACCCAAGGATCTGTCTGGGGTGGAGTACCACAGCCAGGAGAACAGTGTTGTATGTGAGAGAGCTGGTGTCCCCACACCAGCAGCACATAGAGAAATGTGAGAAGCCATTCAGTTGAGCCCATCATGAGTGAAGCCCTGAGCTCCAGACTGTGTGAGGACTGAGTCCTGATATTTTTTTGCCTGCTTGAAGCTAGCTCTGTTGCCCTGAATGGTGTAAACATGGTGGTATTCTCAAGTCCCGTGGAGGCCTCTTTTGACCCATGTGTCTCTGTGAGAAGTACAGGTGGTGCTGAGAGAAGGGGCTTGTCTGAGAATGCTCAGGCAACTCAAAGTCCCTAGAGTGAACTGAACCTTTGTCATGGCGGAGAAAGTTCTGGCACCCCTAGGACTGCAGCAACAGGCAATGGCTCCTAGTGCTCTGCTTTGTTCGTCCAGTCTCGTTTTCAACAGACAGTGGGCAGCTCAGTGGTTGCCAGGGTAACATGGAGATGGAGATGCTGGCAAGAGAATTTTCAGAGGGTGCTAGAACTGCTCTTAATAGTGGGCACATGATTGCATGTGACAATCTGTACACCAAAAAATGGATTTTGAAGTGGCCTATTTTAAATCAATTTTAAAAACATGTGGCAGGCAAAGTAGGCCGAGAGGATCTTACTGTCTTTTTTCCCAGCACTCAGAGGCAGAGGTGGGGAGACCTCTGAATTCAGGGCTAGCTCAGCTGGTCTACACAAGAGTTTTAGGCCAGCTAGGGCTACATAGTGAGACCTGGGAGGGGGAAGAGGAAGGTAACAGTGGCCATCAGCATGTAGGGGACAGATTAACTACAGGAGGCATGGGTGGGTGGGGTGGTTTTTTGTGTAGTGATGTGTAACAACAAATTAATAGTGAGCAGGATTGGTGTGCCCTTATAATCCCTGCTATTTGGGAGGCTGAGGCAGGATTACAAGTACCAGGCCAGCCTTGGCTATACATACAGCAAGACTATCAAACAAAAATAAAACTTTTTGTCAAACTTTATAGACCACAAGATGGTTTTATTGGATATAAATGATAACAGAAGAATGAGAACTATGCCCAGTGTCCAGCTTGCTTAAACCGCACAGTGTTTCAACTCATATGACTGATGAGCTGGGGCTCTCCTCTGGGAATGGGGCAGCTACTTACATGTTTCTGCTGTTTGTATTGGTGCAAGAGCATGCACCCTGGCTCACATCTCCAGACAGAAATGCTACCTCTGAAATTTCACAAATTATTAGTAAATTATTGGAAAGAGCGTAGAACCTAAACCCACTTCAATAAATCATATTACTGTGAAATACATACAGACATTTAATGGAAAAGGAAAAGCAAATTCTGTACAATAAAAATGCATAGTCCATTTGTTAAAAAAATACCAAAATTCAAAGGCAGCACATGAACATGAGCTACACATGCAGCTATTTGTGAAAACAAGAAGTTCCTGTGACCAGACTGCTGACATGGAGCTTTCCAGGTCTTCCTGCAAGTTCAACACGAAGCTCAGAGGTATGTGCTGCTGCTGGACCCAAAGCCACAGCAGTGCCGCCTGCCCAGAGCTCTCCCGGCCTGGGTGGGAGGGAGGCTGCCCAGTCCTATCCACTGCAGGAGGGGTGCAATGAGCTGCGAGGCGGAGCCACTGGCGCTGCAGCACTGACTGCTGGGAGGCTGTCGTGGAGCCCGCTCACCGGCTCACCGAAGGCACTGACGCTTAAGCCAGCACGTCGCCGACGTCGCTTCCCTCATCGTCATTCTCTTCCTCCTCTTCCTCCCTCTTCTCTTTGAGCATCTTCAGGTACTTACTAGCTAAAATCTTCTTTGGTAATATATCTTTAAAAAAACAGGAAACTTTCATGTCAATCATTGCTTATGGTGAACTGTGAATATAACAGTGCAAGTTTCAAAATGTACTAGTTCCAGCCTGAACCCTAGAATAGCTACTGAAGGACATGAAGGCCAGGTACACTTCTGGGGGAAGACTACAGAAACTGGGATTGTTTCCTGGTGCATGCTTACAGACCTGTTCACATCCCACAGCTAGTGAATATTATGATTTTGTGAACAACCCAAGCTAGCTGAGGAAATTGGGCTGGCCCCCTGGGCTGGACGGAAGCTCTTTCTAGCCAGGGCTTGATCCATGGCTGCATGTACCAGTTGCTCTGTTGGGGTGTGGGGCGGGCAGGACAAGTAGACAGCTCTGAGTGTGTGCCTGGCCAGCCAAGCGTCTTGTATATATTGTCAACTTCTACAATTCTTGGTGGCTCAAATAGAGAAGGCTAGAAAAGCCTCCCTGTGCTGGGGTAGGGTAAACCGAGGCATCACGCAGAACAATAAAGGGACAGAAAGCTCACTACAAGTTTTTCTTAACCAGAGTGTCCCAAAGATTCAGTACCTGCCAGGAACTGAAGGGTCTCCGAGTCCTCGGCAGTGCTGGCTAAGTCACTGTAGGTCAGTGCTTTCTTGGCCTTACCACTGCCGTGTCTGTAGGAACAGGTGGCCAGATACTGAACAAAAAGTTCCTAAACCAACAACAACACAATCAAATGAAAGGTCAACTTTGAAAACTCACCACAGACTTTATAAGCTTAGAATTCCATTAATACTTCTGATTATCTTGGTTCCTCAAATTTAATGACAGGAAATCAGTTCACAGGAGAGAGAAACATGAGGTTAGAAAGGAAGCAACCTGTGTAGAGCAGGAGGCAGCAGGTGTTTTCTAGCTGAGCTTAGGTGTGTAACATGGAAAGTATTTACAAGTGATTGTAAATAATGACTCTGGTTTCAGGGGAGTGCTGTGGTGCAGCACTCTAGAGGTGGAGGCACCCAGGAAATCAAGGGAAGCTATCTGAGCTACATGAGCTGCTATCTGAAAACAGTGATAGGGTGAGGTGGACTGTCAACAGCTCTACAATAAATGGAGCAAAAACCCATTCAAAAGTTCTATCTGGCCTGCCAAGGACTTAATTTAGCTTACAGTTTATTGAGACTAGGTCGCACTCTGTAATTCAGACTAGCCTTGGATTCCTGGAGATGCTCCTGCCTGTGTCTCCCAAGTGCCTGGATTACAGATGTGAGCTGCCACCTATCCATATCTTGGAAGCACATTTTCAGTCTACTTGAATCCCTTGTGGAAGGTTGTTCACTCACGACTATAGTAAAAACCAACAACCTCAAGCTGAAAAGTGACATCTCACTTTGCCAAAGTATCTTCTGGGGGTGGGGGTGGGGGACTGACAAGATCCTAAGGCTCAGAAATAAGGTAAACTGAGCCTTTCCCAAGGTCCAGTATTAGTTAAGCCAGTAAGTGATGAGAGAAGCGTTTGCATCATTTAGATCCTTAGTGCTAGAATGAATCTGAACAGAAAGCTTGAGTCCCAGGACCACACAGAAACACGTAGTTCACAATGATTTTGAGATGATTTAGAAATCTAAGATGTGTGCAGACTGCTTGAAATAGTATACCACTGTTTAAAAGGGGCTTGTTGCCCTAGACTCCGGTATTTGGTGGTCCTGGACCAGTCCAAGCACACTGGGAACCACTGTATTTTGTCAGGCTCTACTTAATGTTGGCTCTTTTGCAAAGACACAAGATTTGCATCTTCCTTGGCCTTAGTTCAAAATATTGTAAAAAATACTACGCACTGAAGCAGCAGCTGGAAAATGATCTACCAGTAGTTATCAAGACCTGGTCTCCTAACAGGAATGTTCCTGGACCACCGTTATCAAAACCAAACTTTAAACCAGGAGCGGTGGTTAAGAATTTTTAATTCCAGCACTCAGAGGGGTGAGATGGGAACGGCTGTAGAATCAAATGTGGCCAAAACCAATTGAGCAGGGAGGGGCTTGGTGGTGCCCGCCTTTAATCCCAGCACCTGGGGGGGCTGAGGCAAGTGGATCTCTTTCTCGAGTTTGAGGTAATCCTGGTCTACAGAGTTCCGGGATAGGGAAACACATTGAGATCTCCCTCAAAATATAAAACAGAATAAACCTACAAAGCGATACAAAGCGATCCGTGTTGGGAGGGGGCTGTGCGGTTATAACTCGTTTCTGGAGTCTTAAACTTGTGACCAACTGTTGTCTACAAAGATCCTGACAACCTGCCGAGGCCTGAGGGCCGGAGATCCCTCGATACCCCGGCAGGATACCCTGGAAGCTTCGAGAACACCCCCCCCCCCGCCCCCCGCGCCGCCGCATCACTCCGCGGGAGGTCGGCGACAGAAACTAAGTCGGAACACGCGCCCAGCAGAAACCCACGCCAACTCGCGCAGCCGCACACTGGACGCCGAGCGCGCGAGGCACGGCGGGAATGACGCGGTGGGCGGGGCGCGAGGGACGCTGGGAACCAAGCGAGCACTCGAAGCGGAAGCAGCCCGAAAGGACAAGCGGCGTGGGCGTGACTGAGACCACAATGGAGGGGTGGGAAGCGGGGGGGGGGGGGGGGTGTACGGAGCGCGCAGGCGCAGGAAAAGGAGGCTGAGGCGCGCGGCCCCCGCAGGGCAGCCGAAAGGCCGGGCGTGTGCGGAGCCCGAGGGGCGGTTAGTGCCCGCGCCCGCCCCTCACGCCGCCCCGCCGGCCGCTCACCGTGGCCTTGGCCGTGAGCACCAGCGCCTCCTGGTTGATGCTGGACACCTCAGGAGAGCTCTTCATGATGACTCGGATGCGGGACAGCGGCAGCGACACGAGCCGCTGGTCCCCGCACTTGTCTTTACCCACGGCCGCGTCCGCCATCTTCTGCGTCCGGGCGGCCCGTGATGCCCCGCGCGTCCGCGCCTGCGCAGACGCCGTGTCGCGCGGTGGCCCGAAAGCTTGGGTGACGGCGCCCAGGAAAATCCCCCTCGGAACCGCCGCCGGCGAGGCAGCCGACCGGAAGACGCGCCTGCGGGCCTCCTAGTGTGTTCGGGAATCCCCCGAGCTGCACCGGCTGGGGACTTTTCAAAAGCTGAAGAAAGAGAAATGTGTTAGGAGGCCTCGTTGGAGAGGTAGCCAGCAAGCATGTGCCACACTCTTGATAGTCAGATGGACTGACGGTGGCCAGAGCAGAAAGGAGCAACGGTGTGGTCAGGGGAATAGGGAGAAGTGCCCTCTGCCTGTGCCCTGAGGCCCATGAGGGTTAGCCTGTTAAAGAGGTGAATGAGCTAGATAGATGGTCCTGGAACCTCCTGTAATCCCCACCCCAAAGCCAAGAGGATCACTAAGCGTTCGAGACCTTGTTGAAGAAGATGGCTCATGTCGTAAGGAATAGGAAGCAGATGAGGTAGAAGGAAGACTGTTTAGAAACATTCAAGCAAGTAGAAGAGCAGGATGTCGGGGATCGGGGTGGGTGGAACCATGAGTCCGTGGAATTCCGCCCTAATGAGTTGTGAAGTGGGAAATGGGAAAGTAAAGTTGCTGTGTCCCGAAGAAGACAAAACTAAATTGGCACTAAATTTAATTGGAGGAACTAAACTGGAAGGGTTTTAGAGATTGGGCCATGTTAGGTTTCATTGTTGTCTTAATCATAGTGTACCCTGGCCCAAATAAGCACATAATAGAGCTGTCCCTCAGGATGTTTGTGTTAGAATTCCTAGCCACTCCCCCAGCTACATGACCACACGTGTGCTGTGCGATGCCTGCGTGCAGTGCATGCGTGACTATAAAAGCGAGTTCCACCTATTCTCCCTCCTCTCTCCTGCACACCGCTTCTGTTCCCTTCCCTTAATAAACTCTTACAGTGGATTTTGTTGTGCCTTGTGGCTTCTCTCTCATGGTAAACAGTGCTGCTTAATAAATAACACTTTGGGGTATTGGTTCTAAGATCCCCACATATACTGAAATTGCACATGCTTGAGTCTTAAAAAAGAAGGTAACAGTTGCACAGAGCCTGGGTACATTCTCCTCATATAACGCCTGTCCTCTCTTGATTCCCTTGGTGAGTGCTCTGTGAACGCCATGTGAGTAGCTGCTAGACAGGGAACAAGGAAAGGTTTCTATATGTCCAGTCAGCAAGTGTGATTTCCCCCACCCCACCCCACCCACCCCTCGAATACCTTGTATTTAAGTTTGGTTGAAGTCCACAGATGTAGAACTTATGTCCAGTGTTAGTGTCAAGCACAAGGATACAGTCAGTGAGCAAGTTAACCATGTTGCCTGCTCTCAACAAGATTACATTCAGACCCAGATATACTGGAAAAGATACCATTTCCAATGGGAAGTGTCATGCCTGTGTGGTAGGCTGCCTCTGAGAAGTAACATTTGTGCTCAGATCTGAAGAAAAGGGAAGCCATACAAGAAGGCTGAGACAAGATGAGTATTGTCTGTTACATACTTCCTCTCACCATATGAGGCAGACAAGCATAAGGAATAGTTTAGAAACCTGGATGTCACTTGGCTTGAGCTGTGTACACTCTGGTTTTTTTTTTTTTTTTTTTTTTTTTTTGAGACAGGGTTTCTCTGTGTAGCTTTGCGCCTCTCCTGGAACTCACTTGGTAGCCCAGGCTGGCCTCGAACTCACAGAGATCCGCCTGGCTCTGCCTCCCGAGTGCTGGGATTAAAGGCGTGCGCCACCACCGCCCGGTGAGCTGTGTACACTCTGAACAATGCAGCTAACTGCCTAGGACACTTACCATCCTCACCCCCATCATGCTACACACACACACACACACACACACACACACACACACACACACTCACTCACTCCACTGAACAATAGAATAAATTTTTCCTCCTCTTAATTGGCATCAAACTTACATTCTATTCGGTTGTATTCTACTAATGAAAGGAGAGGAAGGAGGCTAGCCTAAACTAGTTTGGAGTAATGCATAATAGGGCAAACCATCCTTAAAGTGAACTTTTAGGAAAACCCATTTACCATCTTATGCCTATGTGTAATTGGGTGTGCATGTAGTTAAAATCACACATTATGGGGACCTATATGGTAGAGAAGAGATTGTAGTAATATAGTCTGTCAAAATAGTGAACCATCAAGCTACACCCCTTAATAACTAACTCACCTTCCCTCAGACCTCAGAAGCAAGAGCAATAGCCTGCAGTCATGTGACTCACTTCTTTTGACAGCACATTTCTTTCTTTTTTTTTTTCGGTTTTTCAACACAGGGTTTCTCTGTGTAGCTTTGTGCCTTTCCTGCATCTCGCTCTGTAGACCAGGCTGGCCTCAAACTCACAAAGATTCAACTGGCTCTGCCTACTGAGTGCTGAGATTAAAGGCGTGCGCTGCTGCCACCAACACCTGGCTCATATTTCTAATCTATATTTTGCTTTGAATAGTTTCCCTGCTATTTTACAATCTGTACGACCCCCCACCCCTTTCTCTTCTCTCTTTCTTTCATTTTTCGAGACAGGGTTTCTCTGTGTAACAGCTCTGGCTGTCCTGGAACTCCCCTTGTAGACGGGCTGGCCTCAAACTCATAGAGATCCACTTGCCTCTGCCTCCCAAGTACTGGGATTAAAGATGTGTGCCACCACCACCCAGCACCTTTTAATTCTTTAGGAGGCCAAGAATCTCTAAATGCCTAGACCTGAATCTCCAGTCACAAACACTAGGACATGGCCAGACAAGGAACCACTCCACAGAAAACCCAAGAAATGCTATCAGATTGGCCCTTGAAGGTTTTTTAGTTTGTTTCTTTATCTGGTTATTTTTGTACAGCTTGTTTTGAGAATGTTTGGAAACAGGATGGGAGGAGATGAGATGAGGAAGATGTCTAGAGAGTCCAGAGAAATGAGAATTCCCAAATTGGAGGGATGAGAAGATTGAGTCGTGTAGCTTGAATTGTTAGAATGTCTTATTAATAAAAACAAACCTGGGAGCCAGATATTGGGGTAATCAGAGAAACAGAATAAGCCACAGCCAACCTCACCTTGCCAATTCCTCAGCTGATCTTGTTTCCTCAAACTGAAAGCTTCTGAGTCCTCACCTGAATGGATCTCAGCTGAACTGCTGCTCAAAAGCCTAAAAGATTAAAAAGCCTCTAATTTCTGGTCTTCACACCTTATATACCTTTCTGCTTCCTGCCATCACTTCCTGGGATTAAAGGTGTGTGTCTTTCCCAAGCAAAGACATGAGATCTCAAGTGCTGGGATTAAAGGTGTGTGCCACCACACCTGGCTCTGTCCTAGTGTGAGCCACCAGTGAAAGCACCACCAGAGCAAGCCTTGCCAGCATGCTTTAATATCATGTCTCTCATGAGAGACGCATCTCCAAGCCGCTGTCTGTGGGCTTGATCTCCAGCCCAAGAGCCCTCAGAGTGAGCACTGTCAGCAAACCAAGACCTAAACTGCATGGCAGTTTAAGCTTTGCTCATGCAGACAGAGAAGATTACAGATATGCAGTAAAGACAGATCTAGATGGAAAAATACCTCTAAACAGGTTACAGTGTGTTTAAAAATATACGCAGGATGGGGTTAGGGATTTAGCTCAGTGGTAGAGCACTTGCCTAGCAAGTGCAAGGCCCTGGTTCAGTCCTCAACTCTGAAAAAAAAATGTACGTAGGCTTGGGAGAGAAAAGAGAAATAGTATAGACAGTCATTAAAAATAGTTTAAAAATAATAAAGTGCTGTGGGATGGTCTGTATGTCAAATGTGTTGCTGATTGGTCAATGAATAAATCACTGATTGGCAGTGGCCAGGCAGGAAGTATAGGCGGGACTAACAGAGAGGAAAATTGAGAGAACAGGAAGCTGGGAAGGGAGACACTGCCAGCCGCCATCAGGACAAGGAAGATGTAAAGTACCGGTAAGCCACAAGCCACATGGCAAGGTATAGATTAATAGAAATGGATTAATTTAAGCTGTAAGAACAGTTAGCAAGAAGCCTGCCACGGCCATACAGTTTGAAACCAATATAAGTGTCTGTGTTTACTTGATCGGGTTTGAGCGGCTTGGGACTGGCGGGTGAGAGAGATTTGTCTTGACTGTGGGCCAGGCAGGAAAACTTCAGCTACAAATGGCGTCCAACGTGGTGGCAAGAGTTTCCACCTAAAAACTGAGAAAAAAGATTCTAAAACGGAGCTAAAAACAGTTCCTAGTTGTCTCTTTCAAGTTAGCGGCAGCCTGCCGGTTTGAGCTACTGGCAGGTTCCTAGCGTGCGTGCATGCTCGACCTGCAGTATGGCGGGAATGAGGCCTCTGCAAGTGGCACATTAAGCTGCTTGGTGGATTTAGTCTTTGCTAGTACAAAACAAAAAAAGAGGTTTCTGGGCTACATGCTGCTTGGATAAAAGCATAGACCCACGATGGCTCCCAGAGCTGGCGGTAAGCATACTGCCGCCATGTTGGGAAGCTGAGGTGGGCGGAGCCAGCAGCCACAGCTGCTACAGCTTAAAGCAACAGATTCACAATAAGACAGATTCAGATGTAATAGTTTAAAATGTGTGTAAAATATACGTAGGCTTGAAAGAGATTAAAAAGGTGATATATGAAGTTACAGAAACAAATACATAGTTTTAAAAAATAAAGTCTTTAAAGAGACAGTAAAATTAATATAAAAAATAAGCCACGTAGAGATGACTATTACACAGAGAGTCTGGATTGTGTTGTCTTTGGGATTCTTAACTACAGAGAGATATTTGATTGTAAAGGAAGCTGAGTTAAACCAGTACGTATATTTTAAAGATACTTTGACTTCAAAATTTGGATGTAAGGATATGTTGCTTTGGAAAAGAGTCTCTTTTGTTTCCACAGAAAGCAAGAGGCTATGGATTTGTTCCAGAGTAAGATACATCAGGTTTGACCAGCCAAGACCCCCTGAAAGGTCTCCGATGACACCATGGCCCAGATGATCCAACATCCAGAACCATTTCAAGACAACTGGCTCAGATGATACAGCCTCACGGACTACTCCATGATCCTAAAATATTCTTTGTGTCCCCATAAGATACAGCGCCCCCCTCCAGCAGGAAGTAGTAAGAGAAGCTACGCCCAAATTCCCAAATATACCAAGCTGACTTTGGAGATGTGTAAAGGTTAAAACCTTCCTTTTTAAGAAAAGAAAAGGGGAGGTGCTGTGGGATGGTCTGTATGTCAAATGTGTTGCTGATTGGTCAATGAATAAATCACTGATTGGCAGTGGCCAGGCAGGAAGTATAGGCGGGACTAACAGAGAGGAAAATTGAGAGAACAGGAAGCTGGGAAGGGAGACACTGCCAGCCGCCATCAGGACAAGGAAGATGTAAAGTACCGGTAAGCCACAAGCCACGTGGCAAGGTATAGATTAATAGAAATGGATTAATTTAAGCTGTAAGAACAGTTAGCAAGAAGCCTGCCACGGCCATACAGTTTGAAACCAATATAAGTGTCTGTGTTTACTTGATCGGGTTTGAGCGGCTTGGGACTGGCGGGTGAGAGAGATTTGTCTTGACTGTGGGCCAGGCAGGAAAACTCTAGCAACAATAAAGTCTTTAAAGAAAGAATAAAGTAATATAAAGGAAAAAGCCACACAAAGATGGAAAATAAACAGAGAATCTGGATCCTGTATGTTATTGTATTGTCTTGGAATTTTCTGGTTGCTGATGAAGGAATGACAGATTATGGAAACTGCTGGATTATACCAACCTATATATTTTAAAATGTCTTGACTTCAAAATGGAAGTCAAAAGATGTGTTACTTTGCGGAAGAGGCTATGCTTTTATTTCCATAGGAAGTGAGAGGCTGTGAATTCCTTCCAGGTTGATATGAATCAGATTTGGTCAGGGAAGACCCCCTGA